CAGAACCAGTGAGGGATTAAATATCAGCAGAACCAGTGAGGGATTAAATATCAGCAGAACCAGTGAGGGATTAAATATCAGCAGAACCAGTGAGGGATTAAATATCAGTAGAACCAGTGAGGGATTAACCGAACTTTGTGTTGAGTTTTACTGACTCAAACTAACTCATCAGATTATAACAGAATAACTCAACCAGACAGGAAACAGAAAGAAGACTCTTACTTTTGAGGAACTGAAGGAGGGAGTTTTCCTGAACCGGGTCGGCCTGCTCCTCTTTAGAGTCCGGTTCGGACTCGACATCCTCGGCTCCGTTCTGCACAGAAAACATCAGAAGGTTCATTACTGAAACTGAGAGAAGCTTGTTGTCTTTGTGCTGGAGCTGAGGATTCTGGGATTTGTAGTTTTATTTGGTGCCAGAGGCAGACTGGACTGAGGAGGTTCTGGTTTTCTGAACAATCAGAACTTTATTTTTTTCTTTCCACATATGATGGAAAAACTAGGAAAAAAATCATGAAGTTAAATGGAAGAAAAGCTTGAGTTGAAGCTGATGAATCTGTTTTTGTTTTCCTGTTTCACTTCCTGTTTACGTGTCAGAACCACAGTAAACACTAACAGCTCTTTAATGGGCTGGTGGGGGTTCTGATTGGTTTCAGAACCTCCACCTTTTTCACTGTTGGAGTTAAAACAAAACCCAGGACCTGTCTCTGCAGGTTTGTTTGATCAGATCCAGGTTCTGATCCGCTTCAGGAAGATTTGTTTTGAAAAGATATTTCTCAGCTCAGTTCCGGACCGGTGCCAGACTGTTGCATCACTCAGAACATAAAGCCCTGTTTTTAAAAACAACAAACTCGTGTTTAACTTTCAGTTTGAACCAATCTGAGATCCAGCTGTTTTTAGTTTAATCTGATGGAAAAAACACAACAATCAACTGGTTTCATCAGAAACGTTTGTTCTGATTAACAGGAAGTTTCAGGTTCTGTAAAGATAAAAACTTTATTTAGTTTGATGAGCTGAGACAGAGTCAGCTTCGTGAAAATGATCCTCAGAACTCGCTTCGTTTAACAGAAACACATCTGCAGAGTTTAAACTTTCTGTTTTTAACTAATCCAAACTTCCTTCAGCTCAAAAAGGAGGAGGAGGAGGAGGAGGGTCATTACTCAGAACTGATATCAGCTCACCTGGAACTCGTTTCAGAAACAGGAAACCTGCCAGAATCTGTTGTGAGTTCCTTCTGGTTTCTGGTTTAGTTTTGTTCCCTGGCTGTGGAACACTGGACCAGCTCTTTACCCTCACTAGGGTCCTCCAGGGGTCCTGGGAGTTTGGTCCAGTCTACATGTGTTTTACGGACTTGGAGAAGGCATTGGACTGTGCTGCTTGAGGTACACTGTGGGGGTGCTACATGAGTATGTGATTGTGGGTCCGTTGTTACGGGTCATTCAGTCTCTGTACAAGTGGTGAGAGTTTGGTTCTCACTGCCGTCAGTAAAATCGTACTCACACCCTGATAGTCCAGTAGACTCGGTCCGATTGGGGACCAAAACTGTAAGCTTGGTTTACATTTTCTGTTGGTGCGGTTTGAATTCACACTGCACTTTATCAACCGAACCAAACCCTGTGAACAACCTGTTCCCACCCTCACCTGTGGGGGGCGCTGCACCAAGAACCACTGAAGGAATCAACATGAAAACCTCAGAAGAAGACATGGACCAGCTTCCTTCTTCCAAAATGTAAACAAACAGTAGTAACGTTACATTTTAGTGGTTATAGGGTTTATTTTTTGTTTTTAAATGTGCTAAACAGTCTTCATCAATGAGCTCAGCATGACAGGAAGATGAGGCGGAACCATGGATAATCTTGTTTTTACACAAGTCGGCTGAGGAAGCTCCGTGTTAATCCAGTAGGAGCGCGTCCAGCTCCAGAGACATGATGTCCACCTTATAAAGTCATCCAGTGAGGTTTTTACACCATATAAGTACATTTAATACTGTTATTACTCAGAATGTTATGTGGTATAGTCCACTTCCTGCTGTTGGAGTGGTCTCTGGTCCGCGTAGCGTTCACACATGCAATCGAACCGCACCAGAGTTCGTTTCAATCGAACCGAGACCTAGGTTTCAGGCGGACCAGAGTTCGATTTTTTGGTCCGAATCGGAGTTCGATTACGTGTTCACATCTCAACGAACGAACCGGACTTTCCAGGCAAACYAACCAGAGTTCGATTAAATGGGACTAAAGAGTGCAGGTGTGAACACAACCTACGTCAGACCCCTTCAGAGTGGGAGTTGGACTCAGGGCTCCTGTTCTCAGAGACTCTGTTCATAACTTACATGAACAGAATTTCTCGGTACAGCCAGGGCCAGAGAGAGTCCGGTTCTGCTGTTTGCAGATGATGTGGTTCTGTTGGTGTCAGAAAAGGGTGGATTGTTCTCTCTAGGTTGGGGGTGAAGTTCTTTTTGTTGAGACTGACAGACGGACCGGTGCAGCTTCTGCAGTTTTGTGAGCTCTGTACCAAACTGTGGGAGGAGACCCCCAGGAGTCCTCCCAGAAGAGCTGGAAGAGGTGGCTGTGGAACAGGAGGTCTGGACCTCCCTGATCAGGTAAAACCAGCATGTTACAGGTGTGGAGGACCAAACCCAGGAATGCACCCTGACAGGAAGAATCACTGAAACAGAAATGTTGCTTTGGCTCCAAAACTAACCTAAAACACAGAAACAGACACGTATCTACTTCTACCTGCCAGATCTTCCAGTTCAGTTTGTTGGAAGGAGTTTGACAAAGACAGAGCTGCTCAAACATCGGTTTTTTGATCATCTCTGATTCTAATACCAGAGAACCAGCTGAAGTGTGGCGACATCTTTAGCCTCACCTCTTTGGGCATGACTCTGGGGAAGAAGAAGTACGGCAGGGCAGTGATGAAGAGGAGGCAGGAGGCCACCAGGAAGCCCAGCCACCAGGCCCCGACCCAGCGGAGGTCCTCCTGATCCAACGGGATCTCATCTGAAAAACAGAACAAGCCCAGGAGTTCCTCCTTGTTCAGACCGTCTCAGCTGGAACCCGTTTCCTGAAACTTTATTTAAAACCCAGGAGCTGCAGGTTTATCTGAGTTCACTCCACAAGTTGTGTTGGAGCCGATCTGAGCTGCTTGTTGGGACACGACTCGTTTAACGGTTCAGACTAACGCCTGGTCTCAGTTTTTGTTTTCTGTCGGATCATCAGACAACAGATTCTGTGAGAAAATACTTCACAAACACCCTGGTTTTAAAAAAAAATGATGCCTGAGGAGATGCCTCCACCTCCATGAAGAACATCTCAGTATGTGCGTGTGTGTGTGTGTGTTTGTGTGTGTGTGTGTGTGTGTGTGTG